TTGGTATTTCGGTGTGAAGGCGGGCGGGTTTGGTATTTCGGGGTAAATTGAGGTCCTAATGATGGATATTTATCTAAAATTTGATCAATTTTGATTTTATTTAATTTTATAAGAAATTTAAAAAAAAAATTTAGATTTTTTAAAAGATAAAGATCAAATTATATATTAAAAAATATCTAACTCGACCTAAAATAATAATATAATTAACTTCTATATATTTTAAGATAATTATTATAATATTTTTTTATTTATATTTGTTCAATTAGATTCATATTTTATCTAATAAATTGAAAAAAAATATTCAACTGTATTGGGTCAAATTAGGTACAATTACGAGTTTTTATCTTAAAAGTTAGGTTGAATAAAACTTTCATAAATTTAAATCGAATCAAATGATGAAAAGAAAAATGTTATATTCAAATTGAATTTGGATGGAAAAAATCTTAACCCGACCTATTATAATCCCTAATTATCCCTTCACGTAGGTTTGGTATTTCCGGGGTAAAGTGTTGTCGTCGTTTGGGCGAAACCTTTGTTAGGTTTTGTTGACCATCCTTATAATCCTAGGTCGTTATAGATAGTATATATTTAGAATGACAATGAATAATAAGTAAATGAGTGAGCTTAGGTGATGTTTTCATCATACATCCCTTTATGGTGAATGAGTCTGCTGTACGACATCTACAAATACCAAACAAGTATCGAAATATTTCCTGATACAACTAAATATTATCTAAAATTTTAAGTTGGTTCCAATTTAATATTTCACGACAAGTATCAAAACATTTTAGATAATAAATTGAAAATGTTACAAAATATATAATACTTTAGGTTGAGTATATTTCACAACAAGTATCGAAATTTTTGTTATGTGTGCAATACTTACCAAGCAAATCTAAAATGTAATAAATATTGATAACATTTTAAGTTGGATTGGTAAGTATCGAAACTTATTTTTTGAGTTTTAATACTTATCATTTTCAACCTAAAATGTTACCAATATATATATATATATATATATATAATATTTTAGGTTTGCTTGGTGTGTATCGGAATTCAGAGTCTAAGTTTCTATACTTGTCGTTAAACATTCAACCTAAGAAGATCAAAAACTCATGTAAGAATATAGGTTGAAATCTAAAATGTTACCAATACCAACCTAAAATATTATATGTTAGGTAGCTGTCGGAATCGTCTTTCAGTTGGGCCCGGAATTGGGCTTTGACTAGAATGAATTGGGTTAGAGTCGCCACCAACCATTTTAAAATGAATTTAGGTGAGTCGGACACCATCTTACATGATCTGCGTTGTACCAGAAACGTGTGGGGTTCCGGAGTCGGTTATGGTCAAGGAAAGATTAGCACCCTTGAACCGCCCTTTTGGTACCAATTAATTTATCGGTTGTCTTTAATTGCGAAAATTGAAATTTAAAAATCCGATTCAAATTATTTACCTTCGGTTGAAATTACTACCGAAGAAAAAATAAACAAAATGGTAAATGACAAAATAAAATATTGAATGCTAAAAAAAAAGAAAAAAAATGAATAATAAATAATAATAATAAAATAATAAATACATAAAATAATAAATAATGTATTATCATTTCCTAATTCCTATTTATTATGACAAATGAATATGAGAAACACCAACATGTGAAATAAGCACAATAAATATAGAATTCATCCATTTCAAAACAGTCAGCGTTGGTATTTTATAAAGAAGAAAAAAAAAACAAAAATTCATCCATTGCATATCATGGGGTTATCCAGCTCATTGTTCAAAGGCATTTAATATCCATCTAGTTATAAAATTCTGCAAACAAACACGTTCCAAAACAACAAAAGCAATTAAAAAAAACCTTTCGAACTACAAATGGAAATTAAAGTTCTTGTATTCAGCTCAGCTACAAATCCTTAGCGCTTCTTCTTGCTTGCTTTTGCACCACTGGTGTAACACCGGACTTGGATTTAAATGTCTTGGGATCGTGTGAAGCAGCAACACACTGGGTGCTTTGTGTTTCATACTCTGGAATGTGGTCCCACGTTTTTCTCTATCCTTTCCTCTTGATGCTTGAGTCTATTTATAGTCTATTTATAGTTTAAAGAAACATATTTTTAGCTTAGATTTAGAGTCCTACTTAGACTCAAATGCTTCGGTTTTAGTGTTTCAATAGGACTCAAATACGTTGGTTTTAGTATTTCAATAGGACTCAAATACGTTGATTTATTTTTTGAATCTCACTAAATCAGGGTTGTTGAGTGTGGGGCCTGCAAAAATAAAAAAAATAAAAAAATAATAATAAATATAATATAATATAATTTTTTTGTAGACCCAGACAAAAACGGGTGTTTACAGTAACATTTCAAGTTTCAAACCGAATATGTTATATGTTTGGTAACATTTCAAGTTGCAACCTAAAATATTCTCAATATTAAGTTTGATCCAATTTAAAAACTAAGATAACATTTTAAGATTCAACCAGAAATTTCAACAAATTTAAGTTACATGAGTAACATTTTAGGTTGATAACAAAGAACTCCTCATTACTAACCAAAAATGTTAAATAAATTACAAATTTGATTATATTTTTTACTGTATCAACTTGAAAAGTTATTATACTAGACCAACCGAAAATATTACTTCAATTAATCACTTATTAAAAATAAATGTAATTTATAACAAGTTCTTGCCTTCTAAAATATTAGGTCATTCGGGTTCATAATCACTTATTACTTCAATTATTTACATTTTTTTTTGAAGTTTTTAAATGTAGATTTTTAAACATAAATTCATTAAGCGATTGAAGATAAGACACATAAAGTATTGTTGTTGTCTATCCTAACTTGTGTAAACATTTCATGTTGACAACTTGTTCATTTTATCTATTCATCGTTAAAAAGTAATAGAATTATTGATATAATATTTTAAAATAAAATTAATGATAACATGATATTATCTTATAATAATACTCTAACATCATTATTAATTTTTAATTATAAATAATTAAAATAAAATTAAAATGTAATATTAAATATAATTTTTATTAAAAAATCACTATATTGCGTTGTGTCCCGTGAATCATATACATGATGAATAATAGTATAAAACGTGCGGTGATAGATGAGGAATGAGAGGAGGGGCCAGCAATTATTCTTATTCCTGTCCTCCTAATTCGATTAAAACCAAAATTGAATCGAATTTTGAGTGAAGTGGATAGGACCGATTTCTTCAATTAAATCAAGAGCATGTTGGCACTTACGTATGACGTGTCGAGCTTCTATTAGTCTGGACTTGATCTTGCACTGCTGTTATCGTCATCCACATTTTGGATATTGTATCGGAGGGAACACGTGGCAATGCAGAAGCCACAGCTTTATGAAATCAGCACCAACCAAGCATTGGTTCTCAATTCTCAAAGAGTGGGGACACACAAATCTCGGCCCACTCACCATTTCATTGACCGCTGGCTGTGATGTGCTGGCCTATGTCTCCTAAATGTTTCCTCTCAGATTTAATCATCGTCTTCAATTTACTTATTCGTCCCTCACACATCATTATTATTACAACTATACCATTAAGATATAATTCTGGTCATCAAACCGACCAAATATCCATTAACCAAATTAATCGAACCATTAATCTAATTGAATAAAATTTGGTTAATTTGTCAGTGGCCGAATTAATTGAAACTTTTTATAATTTTTTTAAATTAATCTAATTTGAGTTTAATAGAGATTTTTTTATTTTAATTAAAAATTAATTTGATCTTGACAATTTAAGAGTCTAATATGATTAAAACATATTTTAATATTAATTCTTAATGAGTTTGAGCTTAGAAATATGTATTTAATATATATTATATATTTAATATTTTCAGTTATTCGATTAATTAATCGATTTCGAACATAATTAACTATTAATTTAATATTAAAAAATTAACCGTATTTCGATCGAACTAATTCGATTCAGTCCATTAATCTAGTTAATTTCGAGAAGTGAGCACCCTTTGTTATAGGATATATAACTTTTTTTATAATCATTGGTATCTGATTTATCAATTGACTAATGCAGATCGAGTACTATAGAGACGAGAACGACCCTTCCAACCCAGTTTACTTCATTTATAAACACCATAATTCAAATTTCTAATCTTAGACCTAATGATGCATCTCACTATATCAACTTATCGTTAATTATAGTCTATATAACTAAGTCTACTTGTAAACTTTTAAAAAAATAAAAACTCTTCAGGCAAAACAAATTATAGCATACTAGTTTATTTTTTCAAATTATCCGCTCTAACCTCTTAAACTTATATATTTTTTAATTTGATTGATTACAAAATAATATTTATTTATAAATTTTTTTTAATAATCGATAATATACTCACATGATAAATACAACTGCTACAATGTCATAGTATTTTCTGACCAGAAAAGATCAACAGTTAAATTGAAAATGATAATATTTTAAGTTTAAACTATTTTAAATTAACCTTAAATTAGAATTTCATAAAATTACCCAACCAAATGAGCTCACAAATTCCTTATGTCATAGCTTTGTATTCGACTTGTACAATTGAACAAGCAGCTACAATGTCACCTTTATGTCATCAACGTAAATAATAAGAAGACTAATTTTACAACTATGCAACCAATTATTATTACATTATTTAGAAGATAACTTGAATAGATAAAATACTTTACATCCCCATGATGTTCAAGCTTACACAGATATAAATTAGATATTTTGAACCAAAAAGATACAACCAATCAGATAGCCAAGGAAAAGTACTTTCTGTAGTAAAGCAGTGCTGGGGTAGAATGGTACATACCCAAAACTTAGTCACAGCTCAGCGGATAAGATCACAAGTAGCAAAGCAAAACGATTCAAAATCAACATCAAAGGAACCAATAAGATGAATCGAACAATTATTACAGAAAAAGAAGTTAATTGAACAAGAATCTCTATAAGAACTAAGATGTACCGATTCTTATATTAGAAGCAGATCCATTTCTTCTCTGAGCAGCTCGCCTATGGCCACTCCTTTGAACGGAAACAGCAGGCTGTCAGCTGCCATGGAGAGGACAGGCCAGTGGTACAAATACTTAACTCGACCAATTGTTTTGTGCATGAATTGTATTATCCTAGTCTGATTCTTGACTAAACACGTAATTATTTATGGCTAATTTCAGGGTTTTCTCCCAAGAGATCCCCACTGATGTTATAGTTGAAGTTGGTGAAGCCAATTTCAATCTTCACAAGGTGTGAAATTAGTTTTTCAGAACTAGTGTGCCTTTGTGTATGATGTTTTTATTGTTTAGTGTTGAATTGAGGATGTTTTGAATTGTGTAGTTCATGCTGGTGGCGAAGAGCAATTACATAAGGAAACTGATAATGGAAACAGAAGAAGCAGATTTGACGAGAATCAACCTGTCCGAAATCCCCGGAGGCCCTGAGATCTTCGAGAAAGCAGCAAAGTTCTGTTATGGCGTCAACTTCGAGATTACGGTCCATAACGTGGCGGCTCTCCGATGTGCCGCCGAGTATCTTCAAATGACTGATAAATACTGCGATAACAACTTAGCAGGGCGCACCGAAGATTTCCTCTCACAAGTTGCCCTCTCTAGCCTTTCTGGCGCCGTCGTCGTTCTCAAGTCATGCGAGGATCTGCTTCCCATGGCTGAGGAACTCAAAATTGTTCAAAGATGCGTTGATGTCGCCAGTGCTAGGGTCAGTATATTTTTATGCAAATCAGTTTGATCATGTTATTTATATATACCACCAAGAACACAGCTGGGTTTGGTAGGAAGCAAAATTAGAGAGTAAATACAATTGGTTGGAACATGAATGGTGTGTGCAGGCTTGTAGCGAGGCGAGCTTCCCTTGCCGTACGCCTCCAAACTGGTGGACGGAAGAGCTGTCGATCCTGGACGTTGAGTTCTTTGGCAGAATCATTTCCTCAATGAAACAAAAGGGTGCGAAGGCGCTAACCATAACCACCGCTCTCATAACTTACGCAGAGAGATGGCTCCGAGATCTAGTACGCAATCACTCGGGCAATGGCATCAAGTTCTCCGAGCCCATAGACTCCGATCTTCGGATCCAGCAGCGTGAGCTTTTGGAGTCCATAGTGGCACTGCTACCGGCAGAGAGAGCTGCTTTTCCGGTCCACTTCTTGTGTTGTCTTCTCCGCTCTGCAATTTTTCTGAAAACTTGCAGTGCTTGCAAGAACGAGCTGGAGAAACGGATTTCGCTCATATTGGAGCATGTCACGGTTGAAGATCTTTTGGTTTTTTCTTTCACATATGATGGTGAGAGGCTCTTCGAACTCGATAGCGTCCGGAGGATCATCTCCGGGTTTGTGGAGAAAGAGAAGAACATGGCTGTTTTCAACGGCGGTGATTTTAGGGATGTAAGTTCCTCAGCCATGCAGAGAGTTGCTAAGACTGTAGACGCATACCTTGCTGAGATAGCAACCGTGGTTGAACTCACCATCTCCAAGTTCAACGGTATTGCTAATCTCGTCCCAAAGGAGCTAGAAAGGTCGAGGATGATCTCTATCGGGCCATTGACATTTACCTCAAGGTTTGCTTAATACTAATTAAACTTAAGTGCTTTACCATTGTTGAGCATATGGATTAGTTAACAAATGAATTTATGCATGCAGTCTCATCCAAATCTAGATGAGATTGAAAGGGAGAAGGTATGCAGCTCCATGGACCCCTTGAAGCTGTCATACGAAGCTCGAGTGCATGCATCCCAAAACAAGCGGTTGCCCGTGCAGATTGTTTTGCACGCGTTGTACTATGATCAGCTGAAGCTAAGGAGTGGCGGACCGGATGACCGCACCGAGCCAGACGCCGTGACCACCAGGAATCAATTGAAGGCAGACGTATCGCTGGTAAAGGAGAACGAGGCTTTGCGAACGGAGCTTTTGAAGATGAAGATGTACATATCCGACATGCAGAAGAACAATCAAACTGGAACAAGTTCAAGGAGCAGTGGGACCAAAAGCCTACCTTTTTCTCCTCCATGTCCAAGACTCTGGGCAAGCTAAATCCCTTCCGACATGGCTCCAAGGACACTTCTCATATCGATGATAACATTGGAGTGGATGTTACCAAGCCCAGGAGGAGAAGGTTTTCAATATCTTGATTAATTTATTAGTTACCGCCGCGTTTGTTTGTGATGGTTGATGTTGTATGTTTTGTTTGATTTCTATATTTTTGTGATAAGCGATCTGAATTTGTTATAAATTATATAAGCTGCTGAATTTGTCAAACGAATAGTGGGCAGAACCAAGGGAAAGTTTTTATTTGTTTCTTTTTAATTTCATCCATCCATCAGCTTCATAACCTTCCTTCAAAATTCAAAATTTTTATGCACTGTTGCTGGTACTCCTCAAGAGTATATTTAGACGGGCTACTTTTGAATTTCGCCTTAAACATTTAGTTGCTTTATTATTTTATTTGGTCCTTATATCTAATCTTAGATATGTAATTGGCACATGAATTTAAAAATAATTCCATTTATTAACTCAAAATTTTGTTGATATGTTATATCTAGTTACTTATTGGATATCATGTGTCTTAAAAAATGAATCCTTGAATTTGTACGAAGGTATTCATTATAGAGCGAAGGCCTCTTCGCGCAAAGTTCTTGATGTTTTATAAGTAGGTATTGTTATAGGACGAAGGTTTTTTCAAGCATAGTTCTCGATGCTTTATATGCTAAGGTATTTGGTATGTGGAGAAGGCTTCTTCGTGCAAAGTTCTCGATGTTTTATGTAGAGGTATTTTTATATGGTGAAGGCTTCTTCACGCAAATTTATTGATTATGTAGAGGTATTCGTTACAAAGCGAAGGTTTCTTCGCACAAAGTTTTTGATGCTTTAAGTGGATGTATTAATCAGGAGCGTTAAAAGGGGAGGCAGAACCTTTTCTACGCCATTTTCTTCGTGCTATATGTACCGTCTCACAAGGAGGGTTCAATTGTCATAGTAATATCTCAACGTTGTGGAGGGGTAGTGGAGGCATCTCATCTCTTTTAGACAGTTGCAAGAGATAGGGCAAAGGCAGCTCTAAGCCCTCGGCCAGGGAGAAGACATCTCATCACTCTCAAAGAGATCCGGTTGTCGACTAAATGCATCTTTTCCATTCTGACAACAAGGTCAACTCTCCTCTTACCATGGCAAAGGCATCTCTACTCTGTGGCGGAGGTATCTCAACACTCTTTAGAAGCAACTTCGAGATGTATCACCAAGAGTGAGAGGCCATCCCTACACCAGTCGGGCTTATAGAGACACCTCAACAGTTCCGAGGTGGGGGAATCTCGACAATCTGTTAGAGTGGAGGCTCTCGACCCTTTCAGTCAGCTTTTAAGACGTATTATGTAGCGTGAGGCATCTCGGCACAGAGAGTCATTGGTCGTTGACGATTTACCCCTTCTGGTTTGAAGAAAGAACTGTGGTCGGTGAGAAAATGATCATTGGGCGGTGTTCCTCTGTGATAGAGATGAAGGCATAATGGAGATATAGGGGATTCAAAAGAGAAGAATTGGAGAGGATGGAAAGAATGGCGTAGCATTTGGAGCTCAAGGAGACTTCTTGGGATGGGTTTGGGCTCGAGAGTAGGGTCCGGAGTCTAAGTTTCTATATGAAATGCTTATTGGTTGTTGGGGTTCTCAGTTTAGAAGTTGGCGAACACAATGTCGTCTTAGGTTGATAAGGTCTTGGACTTAATCCTGACAAACGAAAGACACTAGGATACCCAACTAATTCAATCTATTTTTAATGAGGAAGATGCACAATTTATAATTGATATTCGCCTTCTAGTTTCCCCAGGAGGATGTTCGAGGTGAAGGATTGAGTTTATACTCGGTTTGTTGTGGCTATAAATTGCTCATTAAAGAGAACTATTTGGAGGATCATGTAGACAATATTTTCCATTTTAACTGGAATGTTTCATGTCAATCGAAGGTGAAGATCCTTAGTTGAAAGTTTGCGAAAAACTTTGTTCCTACAATGCACATTCTCGTTATTAAATGAGTTGCCACTAATGCTAATTGTCCCCGATGTTGTTTTATACTGAAAGATACGATTCATTTTAGCAGAGGCTGCTTATTTGCAAAAACGATTTGGACCAAACTTGACATCAACATGAGGCAGATAACTTTATTTTTAAGGAATGGCTTCTTAGATTCTTTCAACCCCAAAATAGAGGTAGACAACATCTTACTGATATAACTATCTGGTATCTATGGTTTTCTAGAAACAATTTAATACACGAGCAACACAATCAAAGAGAAGAGTGTTATTACCTCCATCTGAAGCCGCCTTATGGAGATTAATTAAAAAAGTTTTAAAATCCATGGTGGGTAATTAACTCTAGTTATGTCATAATAATTAAATAATTTGACATAATCATCGTTTAAACAAATCTCGAGTTCGATGTTTTATATAGAAAACTCTCGTTCGAGACTCACCCGCCAAAGTTAACTGTGCGACACAGGTTTGATTCAAATTAATTAAGACAAAATTCTGAAAAAATTGAGACAGCAACCAAACAAAAAGCATCGCTTTCGGAAGAGAAAAAGAAAGAAATAACTTTTATTATTAGTATGTATTTATTTCATAAGGTTTGCATGTGAACCAAGCATAGGCAACTTTAGCTGGTCATATAAACGGAAATACAATGGGGGGAAAAGAGAGAAGGAATTTAGAAGCTAGCAATTCACCATATATAGCAAGTGCTAATGGCCATTACCCGTAGCAGATTGTGATAATTATTGGCTCAATCAGTTCACTTTCCTGCAATTAGTGCGAATTTGGCCGGCGGTTCCAGTCAATAGGCTCATGTTCCCCATTTTCACCATAGCATCAGCAAAGTCGGCTTTAAAAGTGATGGGATTGTTGCTGTATGTAGTGACCTGAGAGTCGGTGGAGCCGCCGTTGAAGAGCTGTTGGTCTGAATGGAGAAGGCCCTTGTTATCGACCAAGTTCTTGAAATAAGAATTGTCGAAAATGACTGCGCTGCCATCATCTAGCGGAGAGAGGTTGTCACCGCCTCCTGAGCTTGGACAGTCCGATTGAATGGATTTTGCAAACGTTGAATCTATGTTCGTCTCATTGTAAATCCGATTTCGAAACAGCAAACACCTGGCTTGGCCCGTGGTATGTGACCCTGATGGTTTTTAAAGTATTTAGGATGGCTTAATTCAGGGATTTAAATTGCGATTGATATCGTATATGTTTATCGCGACTGCAATTATAGAGGGTGTTATTGTGATCATTGCGGATATTACAATTATACAATAATGTTTCTAAACAACATCGCTATCGTTATATAAATATTGGTATTCCGATAACAAACCTCTATTTAAACCTCTTACTTAATTTGAGAACTGGACAAGAGGTTTTTACCTGAGAGAGCAACCATTTCTTTTGCATTGAAACCCTTTCTGGAGAAAAGGGATATAAGTTCATCGAGGTTCATTAGTGGGGAAGCAAGGTCCGTATTGGCACTGCTGAAACTTGCAGTGGTCGAGTCTCTTCTGCCTAATTGAACTGTCCAAGTTGGGCCCCCTAACTGGTGAAATAAATTAATTAGTGAGATAAAATATATAGACTAGTGGAGAAAAAATATTCCAGAAATTATATTCTTTTTTTAAGGTTTTATTATTTAAATATATCTTATTAAAAAATATTTATCAATACAACACCTATTTAAAATCATTCTTAATTTAGGATTCATTTCTACACATAAGGTTAATGTGTGTTCTATAAAAAGCGTCTTTATATGTGACATATGAGTCGACAAAAACGATTCCGGTAAAAAGTGTTTTTCTATCCACTCCATGAATTAGAATGCCTATTTATGTTAGTTTATAGCATAAATGGTTGTCTCTTGTTCCCATATGTAATAGGGTAAGGGGAGGTAAGAGTCTTATATATGTGACATATGAGTCGGCAAAAACGATTCCGGTAAAAAGTGTTTTTCTATCCACTCCATGAATTAGAATGCCTATTTATGTTAGTTTATAGCATAAATGGTTATCTCTTGTTCCCATATGTAATAGGGTAAGGGGGAGGTAAGATAGTAGGCTACCCCCAATACCATATTGAGAGCAACTTCCGTAGAAGACCTCTGAATTATGAAATGCCCTCCGTGGGACTCGATCCCATAACCTCAAGATTAAGAACCTTGTGCTCTACCAACTGAGCTGGATAGTCATCTCTTAGTTTATAGCATAAGTTGAGTATTATAATTTGTTTTTAATAATATGGGATTACAAGCTAAAGAGAATTCATCAATTCTCCTGTAATCTTTAATTTTTTTATTTTTACTTATCTATTAAAATAAAAATTATGTTTATATGAATTAAAATTAAATATTTTAATATTCTAAAATGTTAAAGTAAATAATCTTATAAATTATGAAATAAAATTTGTTAAAAAAATTTATAAAATCCGAATATTAGAAATTTAAAAAAAACGGTTATTGTATAAATTGATTTAAAAATTTTATTTTTCCTCATATAAATTTAAAATTTTAAAATTAGTCATTTATTTGTAATCAATTTAAACATTCTCATGAAAATATAATAAAATACATAATTATTTATCTGATTTCAATTTTAATTTAAATACTCTCATGAAAATATTTCTTAATAAAATTTAATCACGATTTAAAAATTTTAAGTATTTAAATATTTTAGCATATAAAAATATTGGATTTTTAATTAATATGAATCTAAATTATATTTTAATAGTGAATTTTAAGTTAATGAGATTTAATAGATACTAGATTAAGAAATAATTTCGATTTGATGATATATTGATAAATATTTTTTTAATGAGTTATATTTGAATAAAAATAATCGTTTTTGAACTTACTGCAGCGACAGAATACCGAGCAGAAACTGCCAGAATATCCGCACAAGAAACAACACCGGGGCAGGCAGTCTCCAGCTTAGCTTTAATACCATCGATCACTTCAAAGCCTCTTAGGGAATTTGCATTGGGGCCTGCGCTCTTCTCTCCAGTAAAACTTGAAGCGTCATCGTCGTCGAGTAGTATAGAAGCATCACAGCCCTGCTCCACGCTTACCCCAGTTCAGCATATAACTACTTATATAAGAATTATTTAATATTGATTCATAGTTTTTTTTTTGTTAGGTGTGATGAGTTTAAAAAATTTTAAATAAAAAATTATTTATTTGTAGATAAAGTCAATTCTTTAATATTTTGTCGTATTAAAATTTAAAAATACAATAACTATAAAATATTTATTTTATTCAAAAAGAAAAGATTAAATGAATTAAAATAATAAAATTAAGGGTAAAACAAATCAAAACAAGATTACACCCTATATTACACCACATTCATAATTTTAGATAACGACATTCTGTAATATTTTTAAATCAAACACCACAAATTTATATGGAAGTTTCAAATTACGCAGTGTAATATTGTTAATGCAAACCAAACGTGAAAATATGTTTTTGCATAAAAACAACAAATAAATATGAACATGCTTATAATGAATTGAAATGAAAGCGTGCATGAGATGTTGAGAGAGTAAAGGAGGGATAACATGCATTGACGAAACAATCATGGAAATGGAGACGCAGCAAAGAAGCTCCCATGCGAGATTCCTTGGCCACTGCTCCATACACTGCAGCACTGATAATGGAGAGAGCTTTTGGGCATGTTTTGGAATAATAATCAGCTGATGCACTGCACGGTCCACAAAAGATTAACATAAAAAAAACACACAAGTTCAAATAATAGGAGTGAAACTCCATCACAAATCTGAGTAATTGCAGAGCAGGATGTGTTTGGGATGGTACTATTTGATTTGCAAATTCAGCTGAATATATAGGGAAGCAGTTTGCTAGAATGTCAAATATGTTACCCTCCCGTCCCATTGTCAAAAAGTAGCAAATAATAGTAAACTAGGACAGTGGATCTCTCACCTCCTCAACTCATCAAAACATTTTGGAAAACTCTTACCTGCACTAATCTGTTTCAAGGACAGATGCAAAACTTCACGTGAATAAGGTAAATTTATAAAATTATAGTAGACGAAAACATATTTTCATTAGAAAATACAAAGTATATACTTAAATTATATGAGAATTTGAAATTTTGATAAGAGGTGATCACCCTATTAGTCCCCTAAATCCATCTCTGATTTCAGCTAACGTACATGTGTGTATAACTATACATATATATATATATATAACGTACAAATGTAGAACTCATCTGCTTGTCTATCATTTGATTCTTTGCTAAGAAAATGAAATTTCAATAAATTGTGTACTCTTGATCCACATGTGCGACAGATACAAAATAAAATACGTAGAAGCAATTAATTAATTAATCATGGTATTGGACAAAGTTTGACAATGTTGGGGGTGAACGCAGGTGTGAACAAGATGGTCATCAGGAATCTCTGAGTTAATAAGTCAACTATTGAGGCAGAAGCTTATGTTATAGTCAGTTGGATATATATTTAATATTTTTGAAAGAGGATTTGCGACTGCCCCTAACTTGAGAATCTTCGGCGGTAAATTGGACTACCAAGTATTTGTGATTGAGAGTTGGGTCAATTTGTCAAAAAAATATATAAGACGAAGTCCAAAATTTTAGGTTGTTACTTATCTAATCTATTGGCAAATGATTTGTAAAGGTATCAAATCTGTGATTTAAAAACTGCATAATTTCATCCCTCCCCCAACTCCTTTGAATTTAAAGCAAGATTTCAATATGTTGGAAAATAGTTTTTTAATAGTATGAGGTGATTACAAGCTAGTATTTATTAAAAATATAAGTCCTACAAACACAAATGTTTGAATTTAGATCCTCAAAATAATATTTTCTTTTATAGTTACGTTGGAAATAGTTCTTTGAGACTATTATTAATATTATTATTTTTCAAAGAAAATTGGGCTTATTAGAAAATGGAGTTCCCACCATTCGATTAATCTTATTAATTAGGTATTTCTAAGAGTTTAGTAGTGAGCGGTCAAAGAGAAATGAAAGGGGAAAATAAAATTGGATAAACTTTGTAGGCCAAATTAATTAGCCAGTGTTTATATAAAGAACCATTTGTATGAAGCATAGACAATAAGCAGTTTGTTTATATAAGAGAATTTATTTCAGTTCAATCATTTATGAAAGGAAAGTAGACACGCATAATGTTAAATTTCAGTCTTGGACAGGAAACAATCCATTTTCCCAAAAGGTTTGGGTTTGTTGGGAAAAAAATATCATTAGGATAGAAATCCAACCAATAATTTCTTAAACATGGAGCACTAATGACTTGAGAAAGTCGGCTACATTATCTGGGAGTATAAGACATGGCTTCAGCCAAATACCTCACCAGATATTAGAAAAAGGGGCCAATGCATGCCTTAAAAACTTGATTTACCGCATCAAAGGAAGTAGCCACCTCATTTCTGCCCCGTTTCCATTGGCTAAGTAGTACACCTTTTTCCAGCTTTCCTCTGAGAATGCTTCCCTTCGTATAAGCCTTTGCCTGCAACGCATGTTGGAGATTAACAGCAGACCATGTAATATACAAAGGAAAAATCCAAATGAAATTCAAAACACATTTGCAAACCTGAGGTAGTAATGGCAAACAGTTTCTGCCTCATCGTGACTATAACGAGGCATAGCAACACGGGCATCTACAGGTACGTTTGGCAAATCTAGACGAAGTTTTCCCACAGCGGTTGAATGAGAGAAAGCACCAACCATCATATCATCATGCATCATGGACCTAAAGGCATTCACCTACACAAGAAATATAGAATCTCAAGGATGATTGAAAAAAAATATAGTGAAGCTGGAAGGAAACAATAGTTAGATACAGATGCCATTCTTTTCCACAGTCAAACGGCCAAAAGAAAGTTCATACCTAGATTTCTACCTTCTCACAAAGGATTAGTTTATCCCCCCTAATGCTAAGAAAGAACATAGTCCACTAAGCACTATTAATGAAACAAAGGAGTTGATACCAACCATTGCAAGTTCTCTAGCATGTATTGGTCGACGAGAACGAACAGTCACTGGCTCCTCATACTCACTGAAGGTAAACCAATTATTATACTGGAGACAGAACTGGATACATCAGTCAAAATATTTTAAAAAAACGAAGTTATAATAAAGTTTAACCATGTAGTGGTGCCAACCTGGTCAATTGCAATAAGCACAGGGACATCTTTAACGAGTGATAATTCTTTTCTCAACCGAACTACAACTCCAACAGCTGCATGTGTGTACTTGATTCCCATTTGAATCAGGTCATACAGTGTTGCGCCTTCAGGGAGGGCCATGGATTCAACTCCCTTCATCCATCCAACACCGGCACCTTCTCCCAATCGAATAGGATCAAAAATTTGGCACCGCAATGATTGTAAGCGTGGTTCATTGTATTTCAGAAAATCCTGCAGAAATATAAACCCCCCAAGAACATGGCATACAACTTCATTGCATCATAAAACAAACCAAGAGTTAAAATTCTCTCATGCAAAAGGGGGATAGGGCATCAACAACTAAACTTTCACCTGCTCTGATTTCATGAAGAATAGTATACCAGGAAAATGAACTGATAATGAGTATGGAGAAGAAAATATAAGCATATTTGTTTATTCAGACTTACTTAAAACGTAGTTGCAAAGGAGATAATGATAAAATGGAGTAGAAAACAGTTTGAATAGATGTAGAGAAAAGGTTCTTGCCTTAAGAACATTTTCAGCGTGTAAAGGTGTATCCCACAAGCCTGTTTCAAGGTTTTTATAGAAAAATCCTCCATGCGTCCACTCACGACCTCTAGGGGCATAGAGCACAAGCCAACCCTCGTCACGAGCCCAATGCACAAGCATTGCTAACGCAATACTCTTCCCACAGCTAACTGGACCATCCAATACTACTTGCTTTCTCGTTTTAGGAGCTGAAGACGTAAATACAGCAATAATTTCACACCATAAACACAGTTTATTAGCAACACTACCATCTAATAGCAAGGAACATTATATGTGTGTAACTTATATCGTTTGAGCTTGACTGTATAATCCAAAACAAACCAATGTGAAAATGAAACTGAATTTTGCATCTTTAAAATGGAAAAGATGAAGAAGATCCACCTTTAGCATGAGAAGGCCACATTGGAGGATCTACAATGCGTCTAAAATTATCACGAAGATCCAAGAAACTTTGTCGAACAAGCAGCGCCGGCCTCATCGACTCCTTGAATTCCATCTCCATTCCCGTCGGCAATCCCTCCGGCAGCACTTCCTTCAATCCCTTCTCACTGAACTTCATATACGAGCAACAGTCTTTCCGAGTCAGCAGGGAGAGCGAGGGAGTCGAAGTGAATAAGGGACGTCCATTGGGACCCACATCAAGAGAAGGGTCATTTTCGTCCTCGATCAGGCGGCGGGCACGAGGGGGGCCTCGAAGTCGTCGTCGCCGGCATGTTCGAAATCATCGCCAGTGGAGGAAGCAACGGCGGATGAGGAACCGGCTTTCTTGGACTTGGGCTTTGACTTGGCGTCGCCTTTCTTGGATTTCCCGTGGGAGGCCTTTGCGTTCTTCGAAGAATAGAGTTTCGATTGGGGTGAGACCAGCGGAGGGATTACAGATGCATCAGATCGGAGGTTGAAGAGCGTAGCTCGTTTTGCAATGGACCTCAACATTTCTTCGTCCTCGATCAGCTAACCCTTCTATATATCTCCTTGCAGTATGGTGGTGATGGGGTTTTGAGTTTGAGAGGTTTAGGTTTGGGACAAGGAAGAGTGAGTAGAGAAGACAATGGGATAAAAGCATTTGATTTGGATATACCCACAGCCCAATTTTGCATTGGGCTAAATGTTCTTTTACTTAACATTTGATTTGAAGCCCAAATCATAGCCACAGATTCCAATGCCCGTCTTAAAAAAAATGTACTGTATTTTTTTAAAATGAGGTTCTTAAAATATTTTATGATAAGAATAGATTTATCAAATCTAAAATTATGAGAGATTTACGAAGTCTTTTTATTAATATTCATTATGAAAAACAATTAAGATACTTTGTTTGTAATTTTTTCTGCCACTTTTCTAATAACTAAATGAAAAATTGGTTTTTAGTCACACAAATAGACCATAAGGATTGTACATTGACGGATTTAAATGATATTCATATGTGAGACTCTTGAATTTTGAAATTTTATGATATGTCGTATACTGTGTATATATATATATATATATGAACAGACATGCGGATATAATGTGCGAAAACAAACTCAGATCGTATAGCTAAAAATGATGGAAGCTTTGTTCTTATAGAAAAGAATAAGAAGCAAGAAGAAAAAGTAGTGTTTGTCCAACTTTTCTTTTCTTTTTTTGTTCTTAAATCTTCATATGCCTTATTTACTGACGCAACAATATTTCACCCCTATTTTATTATATTATAATATAATTTGTATTTATGTATTTTGTTGGAACCATTCATAAGCTTAAAAAAAGTGGTATTCTATTTTAAGTGAAAACCCTACAACTTTTAGGAGTTATCGTTAACATTTTAAGTTATATATACTAATAGCGATTGTAAATTCAAATATGAATTTAAATTGTCATCTTTCTTATTTCGAACAAATAAATACATACCATTTTATTAAAACGGGTATTTTAAAGAGTAACAATATTCTATAATTTTCAATTGAGGAGAAAAACTCTTTAAATATATAAATACTATTATTTCTCTTCAATTGAAATAAAAGGAATATTGTAATTCCTCCTAAAGAATTCAATTTTTTCCGATAATACAGAATGACACTCAAGACTAGCACAACGAGGCTTGATCTTTATCAGCTAAACCAGTCACCTCGTTAGGATGAGCATGGTAGGCAACCACCCCTATCGGACAGTCCCTAGCCAATGACTCAAGCATATCAGCAACCGCATTAGCCTCACGACGAGTGTGGGTAATCCGCGTCTCCCGATCCTTGTTCAATAAATCCTTTTAGATACTTGAGTTAGGATTTCCACCACCATAACACAGTCGGTTTCCACTTCGACCCTCCTGTAGCCCAACTCCCAAGCATACGACAGAATATCGTGAACAGCCCACAACTCAGCGGTTAGGATAGAGCAAGTTCCTAAGCTCCGAGCGAAACCAATCAGCCAAAGAACACTGCTGTCACGCAAGACACCTCCAGCAGTAACCATTTTTCGCACACCCCCACTGCTCCATCGGCGTTAGCCTTCATCCAACCCGTCGCAGGACCCTTCCATCTCACTGTTGTCGATATGTAACACGAGTTTCTGGTCTGAAGCCTTCTCCTCAACTATCTCATTTTTCAACCGTATACATTGCACCAGGATATCCTCACGATCAACATAATCAGGTTGAAAAACCACCTCACATCTTCGCTTCCATATTTTCCAGCATATAACTGCGAAAAGTATCCCCCAGTCTCTCCCATTAATCGAAAAGAATTCAAAATTAATACTTATTAGGACAAAATCAAGGGAATAAAAATTTAAACAAATCAATTAATATTATCTAACCATTTAGAAAATATAAAAAATTCGGATATTTAAAAGTATCAATTTGATTTTTTTAGAAAATATAAACATTATCTATCCATTTATCAAGTACTTAAAAAAGTAAATGATTTTTCTATAAATTTAAATAAAAGAACATTTTCTTTTATTTATTTTTATCTTGATTGATTTTAAGCATTTAGGATTTTTTTGGTTTCGTTAGATATGTTCTTTTATTTTGTTCGAAGATTTATGTATGTAGAAAATTTTCATTGATATATTTATCCATCAAAATCACACATAGGTTAGTCTAGATTAGTCCGAGTAAAACCTGTGAAATTTGGGAGAAAAAATTGAACAAAATTAAAACAAATTTGATAATTTTGGAGTTTGTTAAAAAAAAAAACCTTTAGCTCTTAATCTGAGCTCACTACTAGTTGGCGCCAAACCTGTCCTTTCAATTCCTTGAAAGAAAAAAGAGAATTATTGTCAGATCGGGAGCCATAACCAACCGTGAATGGAGCCCTCTAAACTGAAACCTAACCTCCTCAAGAACATCCTCGTACGCTTCCTCTCCTTCGGCGTCCTCATCTTCGCCGTCGCTTTCTTAATCGCCCTCAGGGGCCAATCCTTCGTTGCCGGTGACGATTTCTGCCTCTTCAACGTACGCCACATGTCTTCTGTTGCCGTCGATTCTGCAAAAAGATACATTCATTATTACACCTTCGTTTTCCGAGATTTGATCGCCTATGGTTATCTTTCTCCCAATTCAAAGTCTCTTTGCATTGAAACCCTGACCGGAGAAGAAGTCCACGCCTTGGAAACAATTGGCGTTTCAGATTCCATCGGCATTTCCAAGAAGCCATCCCGATGGAAACAGCCCTTCAAAGCAAACACCTTCGACTTCGATCTCAAGCGGCTTAGAGAGTTCGGGTTTCCCAGTCTAGTTCAGTTCGGAGGTTTGTCGGACGCTAAAGCCAGGCGGGTTCTTGGTTGTTCAAGTGACGACTAAAGACGCCTACAGTTTTCAATCATTTCTTGATCTGTTTGATTGCTTGACATTTATCAGGTCTAGTGAAATTAACGGCCCTGATCCCCCCACAAAAATCCAGGAGATTGTGATGAAGAAAGAGAAAGATAGGCCGCAGAACAAAAGCACTATTCAAGAGTTGAAACGTGAAAAAATCCGAAACGCAGAGCCTTTGATCCAACAAGAACCCTTAAGACGGTGGATCACAAGGAAAAGAAACATCGAAAACATCAAATACTTGACGTCAATGGTGGACATTAGTTTCAAACGCAGGTACATCTACATAGACGGAGGAGCAAGAAGCTACGAGTCGAGTATCGGGAACTGGATCAAGAAACAATACCCAAAACAGAACAAAAACTTCGAAATATACGCCATCGAAGCCGACAAGGCATTTCACCAAGAGTACAAGTCGAAGAAAGGTGTCAACCTACTGCCATACACGGCCTGGATAAGGAACGAGACGTTGTTCTTCGAGATAAACAGGGATCCCAAAAGGAAGAGCATTGCAATGCAGAAAGGCAGAGGGGATGGGGAGGATCAACCCGATTCAGTCAATGGCAATCTACGTGGATGAAGTGGATAAGATTCAGGGGTTCGATTTAGCAGAGTGACAGAAGAGTGTGGTGGAGGAGAGAGATTTCGTGGTGATGAAAATGGACGTGGAGGGCAAGGAGTTTCATCTGATGGGTAGGATGATCGAGACGGGGGCGATGGATTTGGTGGATGAGGTGTTTTTGGAGTGTCATTATAATAGATGGAAGAAATGTTGTCCTGGACAAAGAAGTCCCAAGTATCACTACACGTATCGACAATGCTTGGATTTGTTTACTTCTTTGAGAGCTAGAGGGGTTCTGGTGCACCAATGGCTGTGACTTGACTATGTTCCTTCTGTAAATGGTTTTCTCTTTTCATCTACATGCTTTCTTATCTAAATTGACTTTTGTTTTCCTTTCATTTCTGCCATATCCTATAATGCATGTTGAGAGAATGCGTGTTCATGTAGACAGATTGATTCGTTAAAAAATTACGGTAAACTATGCATATAGTATTGAAGGGATAAAAAGTCATTGGGGTCCAGAGGAGGCCTGATCACTCTTATAAATTTAACTTTTACCCTAGTAAAGGAATCATAAAGAATATTCTCCTTCATAAAATATTGCAATAGAATTATCAACTCCACAACAAAATTAAATACATTCTACTATGATTATAGAGATTTATCGAAATAGTCCAAATTTAATTGTCAATTTTTAAAGATAAACAATTAAGTAATATTTTATATATATTTTTATTTGACATAAAACAACTCAATGATCAACTTAAATTTTTCTACTTGTTGTTTTATAGAACTGCTAGAATTAATGTGTTCATTTGATATTATCATTTATATTATTTTTGAAATAAACAAATAATAAAGAAAAAATTATGTATAAGGTTATTGAACAGTAAAGAAAGCTCGTCGACACATGACTCAAGAGGTAGAGAGCAAATATTTTCTTAATGAAGAGGAGGATATTATTCACGTTCTTAGGAACTGAAAGAGCTTGGGATCAAATCATCCCACAAGAGAGGAGAAATGATTTCTATAGAATTGGAGAGGAGGAACGGATGAGAATGAATTTAATGAAGTTGAATAAGTAATCGAGAGAAAGAGATAGTTGGCCAACCCTTTTCGCTATCATTTGTTGGAACTTGTGGAAGAGACGAAATAAATGACTCTTTTGATGCTCACTGTGAAAATGTACGATATTTTGGAAATAAGCAGCGGATTATACTCCTCTATTATAGATAAAGAGGTGTTACGTGCACAAGACAACATTATCATGAAACAAAGGAAGATATAGAATGTTTCTTGGCAGCGCCCTCCACTTGGATGGACCAAAGCTAACGTTCATGGTGCCGTAAGAATTACAGACGAGGCAACAGCTTGTGGTGGAGTAATTAGAGATGATCAAGGCTAATGGATCTATCCGTGATGCTCTCAAACATGCATGGAGGTTGGGAATCAAAAAGCTGATATTGGAAATAGATTGTTTGAATGCAGTCAATTCAATTAATGACAATATAAGAGCACTGCAAGGGAACTAGATAGTAGAAGCTGTTCGAAGATTACTACAACAGGATTGGGAGGTAAAGATTCAACATGTGAGAAGAAATCAAAACTATGTAGCTGATAGTTTAGTAGGATCTAGCCGCGGTGGACCCATTGGGGAGACGGAATTTGAGTCA